TTTCTCCCGGCCGAAGAACTCCTAGTTGATGTGCTCCTGAGGGGTGGGGACAGAGATGTGCCCCTCGTCCACGATAACAACCACATCAGTGGTCGGCTGCTTGGCGGGGGCGGTGGCTTTTAGCTTCTTGGCCGGGGGCTCGGTCCCTTTGTCGTTATTCTTTTTCTTCACGGGCCCAGCACCTTTTGACCCCCCGGCGCCAGCACCGGCAGTAGCGGCTTGGGAGGGCTCCTCCTTGGCAGAAGTGCCCACCGGGCCCTTCTTCTTCCCCTTAGCATTCTTCAAAGCAAAAAGAGAGCTGACGTCCATAGTGCTACCGTCAAAAATAAAACACAAAGTGGTTAAACCGAAGGGTGTCAGTTACAATGGCATAGAGTAAAAAAAACGAAGGAATGCTATCAAGGTACAAAACACATGACCCTTCGATAATCACCTCCGGCTCCTTCGAAGACACGATCCAGCAGAGGATATCTTTCATCCGATGAGCCCCTCGGCCTAATCTGCCGGAAGCCAAGACTCAACAGTTCCTCAGGGAGAGTGACGTCCTTAATTTTAACGTGCTTATCGGACCCCTCCGGTTTTTTGGCGAGTATTCTGCCATTCTTCTCCAAGGCCGCGCTCCCTACCTTTGGGTGGCGCCGGAAGCTGTTGCGAAGCTGAGCCGGGAAGGGGTTCTCCTCCAAACGTACGTAGCAAAACCGCTCCTTCCACCCTTTGTGGGACGAAGGCACATCGTCGAAGAGCCTAAACTCCTGTACTTGCTGAAGGTTGGCGAAGCCCTCAGCGTTTGAATGCCCCCCCGACAGAGATTGAAGGACATGAAGAACTGGTCGAGGGTAGGTGGAACCCCCCGGCTCCGGCACAAGGAGAGGAAGCCGGCCACGTAAGAGTGGCTATTGGGCGTTAGCTGGCAGGGGGCCAACCCCACGAATCTCAGGTATTCCAGCAGAAAGGGGTGGAGCGGAAAGCGAAGCCCCATCTCCACCGACAGGGCGTGAACAGTGAAGCACCCTTCGGGCGCGTATCGCAACAAGTCGTCTGCCCCTGGCTCCACCACGCGCGCCGAAGGGCCAACCAGGATTTGAGTGGCCTGGTACTCTGCCGGGGACGCCCTCGTCTTCAGCTCTAGGGCAGCGGTGTTCAGGAACGAATGGCCCTCGGGTATGCCTACCGGCCGCCCGGCATCTACGACCGCTTGTTTCTTCTTCGGGGCTGCCCTCGTCTTCTTCTTTTTCCCGGGAGCCACGCTGATGGGCGTCGGGTTCAAGGGCCGAGAGGAGCTGGATTCCCCGACAACGCGAGGGGGAAGGATAGCAACCGTCACCTTCATCCTCTCCTTCTCCTCTTCCTCTTCAGCAGTTTGCACGGCAAGGGCGAGCTCTTCGTCCTCATTCACCTGCTCGAAGTCTTCGGCTTCGACCTCGGCCCTGAGGTCCTTCTCCACCTCCATGGCAACAGCAGCGTCATCACCCGCCGAAGACTCCTCGCTCGAAGGCTCGACGTCGGAGTAGGTTTCCGTCTCAACCGAGGAATCCCTCGATATGTCTTGGGAGTCAATAGCGGACGACATTTTTATAGGCTAACGAATTCGGTAGTTCTAAAAATCCGGAGGCACCTTAAGAAACTCTAGGCGCCTAAGTCTAAGGCCACAGGAGCAAAACTCACCAAGTAAGCGGAGAACAGAAGGGGGACTGACCTTGAAAGCTGTGGATTCAACCGAAGGCCTGGAGTTTCTCTCTCTAGAAATTTTAGCAGAGCTTCGCTAACAAATGATCGCACAAGAGAAGTGATGCCCGACCATGGGGTATTTATAGGCGCCCAGATCCGGGCTTGGGCCCAAAAACCGGGCCTCCGGTCACAAAGTCATCATTACAAGCCGTGGTTTCGCCCAATCGGTAACGCCGCCCGCGGGCAGCCAACCGTCGTGCGCCACGTGTGCCCCCTCCCTCAACGGCTATATTTTGACGTTAGATATTCCAACGACTATATTTGCAACGGTCATATTCTGGAAGCTCCCGGCTATGTTCAGCAGACCACTCCTTCACCAACAAATCTAGCCCCCGGGCTTTCTACTCCACTCCACTTCATCAAGAGGAGCCCCCGGGTGCACTTACCCCGAGATGCTCCCGGTTTATGCCCCTCATACTACATAACAAATGCCTTCGGGCTCACTCCTTCAGAAGCCCACGGCTTCATAACAGGCACACCCCTCGGGGATTCACCCCTCAGCACTTTGAGGACCAGGTAGCCCCCGGGGAGTACACCTTATTGACGGATAGCCTGCAGCACACAGGTAACGGGAGCCCTCGGATGTCCACCTCACCAACTGATCAACAAACAGGGGACCCCCCGGTAACACTTCAACTACTACTCACATTCATCACGCCCTCGATCCCCAGATTGAGGGACTCCCCTTCGGCACCTCCAAGGATATCAACAGCAAGCTTCCGGCTAATCAACACACGCGCCCTCAGAACAAGGATAGCCTTCGGCTTCAGAATTGTACTTCACTTCAAAACCAGGGCTTCACATTTTCGATTCATCGTTGGGGGAATTCGGTACACTCTTTTTCCCTCATTAGGATTTTTTCCCACATGGTTTTTCCTAATGAGGTTTTTAACGAGCCATCCCCCCAAAATGAAATGAAAAGTGTCAGCCTTCGGCCCAATACAGCAACACGATTACTCTACTCCTTTTCACCACTTTGCAAGTGCCTCAAGGAGTGGGGGACTGGAAACCCCCCCTCGGGAAAAATCACAAAAAGTGCAAAATGCTAAAAACTCCCGCAAACAGCAAACATGACCCATCAAGTCCCGACATGTGGGTAACTGAGGGACTGCCCTCGACAGAATAAACAAACAGCAAACTACCCACAACTCTACAAACTACAACGGAACAACGGCAGAGGACAAACACAATTAGTCCTTTTCCCTCAAGTACCTTTCGGCAAAAGGAGTGAGGGACTCCTGATGGAGTATATGGCCCGGGAACCCCCGGTCCACAGACTCTTACTACTCCAATAAAGGCCCAATAGGCCCAGGAAGCACAACAGGCCCAAATCTCAGCACCCAGAATACCAAGCGGCCCACAACGCGCACCAGGGGTGCCTTCGGCCCCTGACCGAAGGCTCTGATTCTAACAGGAGGGTCAAATCAGGAAAACAAAGTTACTGGGAGAAAACGACGAAAATTAGTAGCCCTCGGCACTAAGGAGCCCTCGACATTAAGGAGGTCCCCGGTACTCAGAGCCCTCAGCTAGTCATCTACAGCCGAGGGCACCTTTCCGACATAATATCCGCTCCACATGCGTATGAATCACCATACCAAGTACGACGTCACATCCAACAGCCGCATTAAATGCGGCCACATGCGAGTGCCAGCGCCAACCAGTTGAGGTGACCCCTCGGCCAATGGATGCTTGACACGTGTCCCTGTCTGGCATTTATTGCTGCTATAAATAGCACCCCATTTCCCATTTGTAACCCAGAAGCAAAATACGCTGATCACATCTAATATACTCTCTCTCTCTCTCTCTTACTTGCTCTGACTTCTCTCTAGTTATTCCCCGCAATAACCCCTCAGATAAGCTACCCCCGGGTACACCATCCATCACATGGTATCAGAGCAGGCTGTTTAAACACCACAATGGTGGAAACCGAACACTCTGATTCTTTCCCCCACTCACAAACCCATCACCCTATCTCCCAAATTAGCCAAATGACAAACTATCAGGCCTCGGTTAATTCATCTATGCTCATTACTGGACATAGATTGAATGGAACCAATCATCTAGAATGGTCACAGTCTGTCAAGCTGGCAATAGATGGAAGAGGAAAGTTGGGATACATAATGGGTGAAATAAAGGAGAAGAAGAGTGGTGATGATGACTACAACGTCTGGAGGTCAGAAAACTCTTTGGTAACAACCTGGCTTCTCAGTTCAATGGATGCATCAATCGCCAAACCTCACATGTTCATGAAAACTGCAAAAGAGGTATGGGATTCCATTAAAGAAACCTATTCAGATCTTGAGAACTCTTCTCAGATATATGAATTAAAAACAAAGTTGTGGCAGTCCAAATAAGGAAGTAGAGATGTCATCTCATACTATAATGAGATGGTATCTCTATGGCACGAGTTGGACCAATGCTATGATGCTGAAGACTGGGAAAGTGCTACGGATCTGGCAAGACACAAGAAGAGGGAGGAAAATGATAGGGTCTATATGTTCCTAGCAGGAATTAATAGTGATATGGATGAAGTTAAGGGAAGAATACTTGGAAAAGAACCTCTACCTTCAATCAGGGAGGTATTTTCTGAAATCAGGGTGGAAGATAGTAGAAAAAGGGTCATGAATAACACTCCAGTCCATCATGATGAACCTAGAGAGTCATCAGCAATGATTGTCAAAGGAAATGAGAAGAAGAAGCCTTGGTGTGATCATTGCAAGAAGTTGTGGCATACTAGGGAAACTTATTGGACGATTCATGGCAAACCACCTGGAGCAGGACAAAAAAAGGTTGAAAGAGCCCTACATACTGTCACATCTGAAACTGATCAAGAGCAACAAGTCAATTTCAAGCAGCCAATTTTCACCAAGGATCAGATAGAGCAAATCCTACAATTTCTCAATACCCAAAAGAACCCTAAATCAGAAAACCATTCTTGTTCTTTTGCTCAGAATGGTAAAATTGCATCATTTTTCTGTTCTGGAAAACCAAATACCACTTGGGTCATTGACTCAGGTGCAACAGACCACATGACCTCCATTTCCAATCTATATTCTTCTTATAAACCCTGTGCAGGGGATAAGAAAATTAAAGTTGCAAATGGCTCTCTTTCAGCCATTGCAGGAACTGGAAATGTTAAAGTTTCCACTTCTATTGATCTTTCTAAAGTCTTACATCTCCCAAACCTATCCTGTAATCTTGTTTCTGTTAGCAAATTAACCAAAGATCTCCAATGTTGTGTTAAATTTTATCCTTCATATTGCATTTATCAGGATCTGGCATCGAGGAAGATGATTGGCATTGCTAGGGAAGAAGATGGACTCTATATTTTTGATAAAGGGACTGAATCAAATAAACAAGGTCAAAGAAATACTTGTCTGCAAACTATTACTTTTCCCAGTAATAATGAGTTGTATTTAATTCATTATAGATTAGGTCATCCTAGTTTCCATTATTTTAAAAAGTTGTTTTCTCAATGATTTCATAATAAAAATGTTTCACAGTTTTATTGTGATATGCGTGCACTTGCAAAGCATCATAAAAATCCATATCTTCCCCACAGTTACAAACCTACCAGTCCTTTTACTCTTGTGCATAGTGATATTTGGGGAGCATCTAGAGTCCCTACCTTAAAAGGAAAGAGATGGTTTGTAACAATTATTGATGATCATACAAGAATGACATGGGTATTCTTAATCAAGGAAAATCAGAAATAGAATATGTATTTAAGCAGTTTTATGCAATGGTCCAAACTCAATTCAATACCAATATCAAAATGGTAAGAAGTGATAATGGCCGTGAATACTTTTCTACAAATCTGAATCAATTTTTTGCTAAAAAGGGAATAATTCATCAATGTTCTTGCATTAATACTCCTGCTCAAAATGGAATTGCTGAGAGGAAAAATAGACATTTACTTGAAGTTACACGTGCAATCATGTTTTCAATGAAAGTTCCAAAATATTTATGGGGAGATGCTGTTTTACATGCTACCTATTTAATAAATAGGATGCCATCAAAAATTTTAGGGTTTAAAACTCCAATTAGTATTCTTCAAGAATGTTACCCTACTACTAGATTGATTAACACTCTTCCTTTAAAAATCTTTGGTTGCACTGTGTTTATTAAAAATCCAGACAAAACTGCAAGTAAATTTGATCCTAGAGGAACTAAGTGTGTCTTTCTAGGTATTTCATCCACACAGAAAGGGTATAAATGCTTTGATCCTTCAACAAAAAAGATGTTTATTTCAATGGACACTGTTTTTGTTGAAAATCAAGTATTTTTTTATACTCATCTTCAGGGGGAGAGTTCAAATGAAGATGCTAACAATGTGTCACATATTCATGACAATCTTGATTTTCTTGACATTAATCTAGATATGCATTCTATTGGAAACTTAGATGCATTAGAAAATGGTCAAACATCAGAAAATAATGAAATAAATACAACTGATTAAATGGGAAAAGAAGAGTTGCAAATCAGTAAGTTCTTTGGCAAGGTTTATGAGAGAAAGGTTCCAAATCAAAGAGCAGAGGAAGTCTCTGAACCTACATCTGTTGATGAATCTGACCTGATGACAGTAAATGAAAAAGGTAATAACTCAACTGATCTTGATTTACCTATAGCTCTCAGAAAAGAAAGAAGGTCATGTGTCAAATATCCTATTTCAAACCATGTTTCCTATTCTAGATTATCCTCTACATTTGCAACCTTTTCTTCTATTGTCTCCTCTATTTCTATCCCATCAACCATACAGGAAGCTCTATCTAAACCTGAGTGGAAAAAAACTGTTTTGGAAGAGATGGATGCTCTTGAAAAGAATCAGACATGGAAGGTTGTAGAGCTACCAAAAAATAAGCCCACAGTTGGATGTAGATGGATTTTTACTCCTAAGTTCAAGGCAGATGGCACTCTTGAAAGATATAAGGCAAGGTTAGTTGCCAAAGGTTATACACAGACTTATGGCATAGACTACACTGAGACCTTTGCACCAGTTGCAAAGTTGAATACTATCAGAATTCTTCTATCTATTGCTGCAAATTTAGATTGGCCTCTTCAACAGTTGGATGTGAAGAATGCTTTTCTAAATGGAAAACTTGAGGAGGAAGTTTACATGAAGTCTCCTCCTGGTTTGAAAGCAGGTTTGGTTCAAGAGTATGTAAGCTGGAAAAATCTCTGTATGGACTCAAACAGTCCCCAAGGTTCACACAGTTTGTTAAAAAACAAGGATATAAACAGGTCTAAGCTGATCATACTTTATTTATAAAATGCTCAAGTAAGAGGGAGATTGCTATATTAATTGTCTATGTAGATGATATTATCATTACAGGAGACTTTTATGCAGAAACACAAAACCTGAAGAGAAAACTTGCTACTGAATTTGAGGTCAAAGATCTGGGAGAGTTGAAATACTTTCTTGGCATGGAAATAGCTAGATCAAAAAAGGGAATTATTGTATCTCAAAGGAAGTATGTTTTGGATCTTCTTGAAGAAACAGGGTTGAGTGCATGTAAACCAGCTGACACTCCTATAAATCCAAGTCAGAAGTTAGGAGATGTCAGAGATGGGGTTCCAGTCAATGTGCAACCATATCAGAGATTGGTAGGAAGACTTATCTACTTAGCACATACCAGACCTGATATTGCTTTTGCAGTTAGCATGGTAAGTCAGTTTATGCACTGTCCATATAAAGAACATCTTGAGGCAGCTTACAGAATTCTTAGGTATTTGAAAAGTTGTCCTGGAAAAGGATTGTTCTTCAAAAAGAACCATAGTAGGGCAGTAGAGGCCTTTACAGATGCTGATTATGCAGGATCAGTGAGTGATAGAAGATCTACTTCAGGGTACTGCACTTATGTATGGGGAAACCTAGTGACTTGGAGAAGTAAGAAACAGAATGTGGTAGCTAGAAGCAGTGCAGAAGCAGAATTCAGATCAATGGCCAATGGTATATGTGAACTTCTTTGGATCAAGAGAGTGATCAAAGAACTAAATATGGAATTGGAGTTACCTATGAGACTATATTGTGACAACAAGGCAACTATTAGCATTGCACACAATTCAGTCCTACATGACAGAACAAAGCACATTGAAGTGGACAGACACTTTATCAAAGAGAACATTGAAGCTAGAAATGTGTGTACACCATTTGTGCCTACCAAGGATCAAACTGCAGATATTCTAACGAAAGGATTGTTCAAACCAGTGTTTGAACAACTAGTAAGCAAGTTGGGAATGCATGATATATATTCACCAACTTGAGGGGGAGTGTAAAAATGTACAGTCAAGTTAGTGAGTAGATAATTTACTCACACGTATTAGATAAGTATGGTTAGGTAGTCAGATCCTTTTTTTAGGATCTCATCAGTTAGACTGTTAGACTTGTATCTTATATATATTGTAACCGAGTGATGGAATAAATTAATCAATTCTATTCTCCCAAACTTACAGATTCACATAGTTTCCACTTTTTAAATCCATTTGAATAATCAAAATATGAGTTAATAATGAGACATGGAGTATACATTTAGAATCTAAAGGAAAAAAAGGAACAAAATATTGAACAAGAAAAAACAAATATGAAAACAGTTACAAATTGATACTCAAATTGGAGAATAAAATGGATCTGTTTTGACAATGAAAAGTAAAGTTGAATTCGAGACCGAAGAAGTAATTAAATATTTATATCTTTCTCACGCGATCAACACTAAACAGTGATGCACGATGATGCCAGATATTTAGATTAAAAGTTATTCTAATTTACCATAATTGCCAATATGTTTGACTATTTGTTCCCACTCAATTTGTTAGTGGTCAATTTTCTAAACAGGAGTACATGAAATCAAAATTGCAAGAATAAGAACATAAAATTTAAATTCTAAAAAACTTAAATTCTCAAATAGGAGTAGGTCTTTTTATTCAATATAACTAAAATTAATGATAAAGACAAAAATGCGATCTCTTTTAATTTTTTCCAAAAAAGTGACTAAAAGTCATTTATTTATTTAATCATGCATTTATTATTTAATATTCTTTTTATTTTTATTAGTCCATATTTTTGCAGCCACCAGACCTTGTAGCCGCCGACCCCAGCATCGCCACCATCATCAGCACCGCCACCTCCAATCACTCTCTCAGTGACTCAGATCAAAGTGACTTCACTGACACAGTGACCCGCCAGCACAATAACTCCGGCCACAGTGACTCGCCGGTCACAATGACTCATCTGTCACTGTAACTCCGCCACAATGATGTCTCCACTACTCTGACTCCGGTCAAAGTGACTTCGGCGAATGACCACCATCTTCAGCCGATGACCACTGCCCTCCCACCACAGTAACACCAGCCCCGCACCACCGTCACTACCCCCAAACCATCGTCACTGCACCCCCACACCACCGTCACTACAACAGTTGTTGCCATCGCTCCGGCCAGCCACCGCACCCTAGCCCCCAGGCCCCCGAACCCCAGGCCCACCACACCCAGCCTGTACAATCGCTCGCTGCATCATCCCAAGTCCCATCCCATCCTTTTCCCTGCAACAGCCCCACACCCACCACCCTCCCCAGTCCCCTCCGACCACCGCCAAAGAACACCATGTCTACCCACCGTCGGAGACCGCTACAGTTGGTCCCCTCCCCAACTGCCCAGTCACCCTCCTCTGCTCCCCTACCCCTCGCCAGCCCCAAATCCCTGCACTCGCCCCCTCTCCCATTCTCCCTGACATTATTCCGCAGCCCCCCTCCCAACCACGCATAGCCCTCCTATCCTCAGATCCCCTCCTCTCCCAGCCTCCCAAACCTCATCCCCTGCCTTCGCCACATTCAAACCCTAGCCACCAGCTAGATTCTAGCCATCACCATCGCCTTTCACCGTCGTTGAATGAGAAGAAAGAAGGAGAAGAAGAACGAGGACGATGAAGAAGGTCAGATCCGCCAGAAATGGATCTTCGTCTCGAAGAAGGGATTGGATTTCGAGCGGCGGAGGGGGTAGAGTCGTCGTCTCCGCTATATTACCATTGTCGCCGAGTACTGGCCATCATCGACTTCACCGCCCTCGCCGTCTGCACAGATGATTGGAGGTGGAGGAGATTTGATTTGCGAAGATCTGTTCGTTTGCGTGGAGGAGATCTGATTTGCGTGAATCGGTGCGAGGGATTTGAGCGTGGAGGAATCTGATTTGCGTGAATCAAAGCCCGGTGCGAGCGAGGGATTTGAACAGATGAGTCACATTTTTTGAAAAAGATAAAATTGTCCTATATTTGGAATCTAAAAGGCTGTAAATAATAAATGGGTCATTTTTTCATAGGTGTAATCTTCTAATCACAGCCTTTCCCTCGTCATGCTTAATAGGATTTTTTAAATAATAATAATTAAACATAAAAAAAGTAAAAAACAAAAAATTTACATGTCTCAACCACCAAATCAGCCTCCTTCCACCACTGTCACCTCTAGTCGTCGAAAAAATGCTAACATGCAAAAAGAATATCATCGTGATTGTAGTTTTGAAAGGAAAGTTGGATATTTTCAAAGAGTAAAAATGTGATGCTTTTTACCTATGAGGATGTGGCGGCAGAGGCCTACATATTTTTATATATTTTTAGATACTTTATTCTATTTTTTAAATTTTTTTAATTATTGTTTTCGTTTGTTTTTATTTATTTATTTTCGTTTTTATCATTAGTTTATAAATATTTTTATTATTTTTATATTTTATTACGAATAAAACTATGACTTCCTTCATAATAAAATAAAGCTATGAGGGATTATAGGAGGAAGGTAGAATAGGAAGAGAGACATATATTACTTCTATTTTGGAAATAAAAAAATTATAGTTTCATTACTGCATTTAGGAGTGATTTTACTCTTATTTAGGGCTAATAGTCGTTTATTTCAATTTTACACACTCACAAAGACACACATGTATAATCATATTTCATTTGCCTCTATTTTATAAGATAAAACCAAACGTAAGAAATTGTTTTTCTTTTAAAACTTCCGGGGACGATAAACTGTAACTCCAATTTTTAAATAAGCCTGAAAAATTAAAAGAAAAATACTGGGAGGTGTGCCTCTGTTGGGAATATTTTATGGTGTTCAATCTAGTTAGTTATCTTTGTATTTGTGTAGTTATCAATTAAACGTGTAATACGGGCCACAAATGTGTATCAGCCCGGGGGCTTCCTTGTAACCCGTAAGTTAGCCAACTTCTCCTATAAAAGGGGGCTAACTTACGGGAACCCTAACTGATCGATAGAGACTGAGAGTACGAAGAGGCGAGATAGAGAGAGATTAGGGTTGCCGCTACTCTCCTTCTCCAGGGAGAGCAGCGGACAGTTCATACGGTATACCAGATTTGGATTTAATCTTGTCGATTTCTTCTTATCTGCTTCTTCTTAACTGCTATAGATTGTTCGATTGTTTGTATTCTGGGTTTATCATTTGGTATCAGAGTCGAGGCGTGAAACAGGTTGGATCTATCTGCGATTTTTTGGATCTAACGAAGAACTGCTCTGTTTTTTCTTCTGTTTTTCTATATGTAGACATTTGCTCCTGTAATCTTGTTTGTGAACGAAATTTTGTAAAAATCACACTGTTGGACTCGCCTTTCAAAAACGATCCAGCAGCATACCTCTTTTTTCGTTTTCTGCAATTTTTATATTTCGAAGATCTCTACATTGAGATCTCGAAATCCTTATTTTTCACTGCTGCAGAAACGTTTTTTGGCTTGAAACTGATACAGGAGAATCTCGACCTTCAGGGCTTTTCAGAACACGTTTCAGATTTTCAAAAATCGATGTTTTCATTTTACAGGATCTCGACATTTAGGGACTCGATTTCCTGTTCTCGACTTTTGAGATCTCGAGATTTGGATCTCGACATCTTGATCTCGAGATTTGAATCTCGAAATCTTGATCTCGAGATTTGAAACTCGACATCTTGATCTCGAGATTTGAATCTCAAAATCTTGATCTCGAGATTTGAATCTCGAAATCAAGATCTCGAGATTTGAATCTCGAAATCAAGATCTCGAGATTTATAATCTCGAGTTTTGACATCTCGAGTTTTGGAATTTCGAGTTTAGGAATTTCGAGTTTTGGGATTTCGACATTTGGGATCTCGATGTTTTGGATCTCGACATTATGAAGATTTCGAGATTTTCAAAATTTCTCGATGTTTTGAATCTTTCAAAGTTTGCAGTTTCTTGGAACTCATAATTTGAATCTTGACATCCTTTGCAGTTCATCGAAGCTTTACATTATAGGATCTCTGAATGATTCCCTGCTTATAAATGTTTCAGGAGTTTTCGATGTTCTGATGTTTTTCAAACAACAAGTTTTCGAGATTATGAGGTTTTCGAAACTCCAAAGTTTTCGATGTTCAAACATTTTGAAATTCTGCAGATTTCGATATTCTGAGGTTTGTTTTGCAGGTGGATTTCGCCATTATTCTTCGACGCAACCTCGAGATTGTAATCTCGAGATTTAAACCTCGAGATTAGGATTTCGAAGTATTGCCTTAGAATTTTGTTTAAAATCCACCTGCTCTCGATATTCATCATCGAGAACCTCAACTTCGAAGAAATTCCTCAAAAACTCAAAATTAGAGATTTTCTGCGACATCGCACTGTTTTGGCCATAACTTTTGACTCGGTGATCCGATTTGAGCAAACTTTTTTTTTGTTGGAAAGCTAACGAAAAGATCTACATTAATTCTGGGGCTATGCCCCAGAACCCTTTCTCACGCGCCCTCACTCGCAGTCTTTGAGGGTCAAAACGTTAGTTTTCCGACAAACATTGTAAATCACCGATGTCCAGGTCAAAACTTAGGCAAATCTGTTCAAATTCTTTCAATGTCAACCCTGAGGTCAAAGCTTTTCTAAACTTCAATGTAAAGGTCTGAAAATCGTAGATAATTCAATCAACCTCGCGTCAACGGTCATCTTACAACAATCAACAATCAACTGCTGAAGCCTCCCCTGACTCATCAACATTATGTGATCATCAATATGCTGAGATTCTACATGGTGAGCTTAGGGAAACCGTCATGTGTGGTACATGTTTAGATTGCTCCACACACATGGCGGGTATGACAAGCTGTGAACAATCAAACCTTGCACATTCTGAGGGGGAGTTTCAGTTTTCTCCTCCTGGTGCCTTACACCGACAAAGCAAGGAATCTCTCAACGGATGCAACATTCTAGGGGGAGTGTTCAATGTTATCCTCCCTTGTGCCTAACAATGACAATGCATACCGAGTGCTCCAGTTGAGGGGGAGTACAGAGAGAAAATGAAGAAAGTAATGAGAGAACATATCCCTATGGCTTAGTAAACCCAACTAAGCCTACCCAAGGGACAAAGCCGAGCGTAAGTGCGTAAGTGAGCGAGTGAGTGAGTGAACATTATGAGCATTAGGAAGCAGAAGGCTCAAGTGAGAAGAAAAACAATTATCAATGATGAGTCTGCTACCTCAATTGCCTGCTATGAATTGAACATTTGCTCCTAGCCACTAAAATACTCTGGACTATCCCCATAGGTTCAGGACTGAATTTATTCAGATCCCGGGTAGAAGTCGCTGCATTTTGTCCAAACGGCGCATGCACAACCCGACCCTAGACCACTCACTTGTCTCCCAACAGACAGGTGTTTAATCATATTTCACGGGGAACCGCATCTCTCATTACTGTCTCCTTCCGAGACAAGTAATACTGACTACAGTGGCCTCAGCCCCATGCCACTGAACTTTCATTGATCACGTCGTGTCTAGTTACTCACTCCCAAATGTTTTGAAATTTTCTAGGACACAGACGCACTTTTAGAGTCAGTTGCAGGTCTACATTAACAACGTTTAGAATAAGGAGGAATTGAGACTGAAAAGCTTGATTCATTCCATGAAATGATATCCTATTTATACAACATTTTAGAGCTAGGCTACTAATTATAATATTAAATACAAAGATTTGTAACTGAAATATTAAATACAAATATTCTAATTTATTTTGTAACTCATGTAACTGATCTCTAGAGCTGTCTAGACTCTTCTGTCTATATGCCCCCGCAAGCCAGGTATTCTATCAGTGCTGAGAATCCTGAGCTTGTCACGTAGAAAAACAAACCGTTGTCGTGAAAGGGGTTTGGTGAGAATGTCAGCTAGTTGATCATGCGAGGGGATATGAAGAACCCGAAGAAGGCCACGTTGCACACGTTGACGAACAAAATGGAAATCAATGGCAACATGTTTCATTCGGGAATGGAATACCGGATTGGCAGAAGAGGTGGTAGCGCCTTTATTATCACATAAAAGAACTGGAGGAGAAGAAGGGGAATGTCGAAGCTCATGAAGAAGTGACTCAATCCAAAGAGTTTCAGATGCAGCAGTGGATAGGGCCCGATACTCTGCTTCGGTTGAGGATTTGGCAATTGTGCGTTGCTTGGAGGACTTCCATGAAATAAGTGATTCTCCGAGAAAAATGGCATAAGCACTGGTAGAGGATCGGTCATCTGGATTTCCCGCCCAGTCTGCATCAGCATAAGCACACAATGAAAGGTGAGAACTCCGACGGAGATATAAACCATGAGAGGCTGTTCCGTGAAGATACCGCAAGAGACGTTTCATGAGCTGCCAATGGTTCACCGTGGGTTTGTGCATAAACTGGGCTAGCTTGTTGATGGCAAAGGCCGTATCAGGTCGGGTGAGGTTTAAATACTGAAGTGATCCAATAACTTGGCGATAGAGAGTGGCATCACAAGAACCTGAGCTATCAAACAGAGTCAAGGAAGCTGAGGAATCTAAAGGCGTGGATACTGGATTTGCCTCGTGCATGTTCAACACCTGTAATAAATCTGTAATGTACTTGTGTTGATCAAGAAAGAGTCCATCTGATGTAGGGGTAACCTGTATGCCCAAAAAGTAATGTAATGACCCCAAATCCTTAATGGAGAATTTTTGTGCTAACAAGTTAATAGTCCGATGAATCAAGTCTGGTGTAGAGCCCGTAACAATAATATCATCCACATATACCAACACATAGATATAAGAGGGATGAGAAGAAAAGATGAAGAGGCTGGCATCAGAGACTGATTGATGAAAACCAAGGGATAATAGAAATCCACTAAGAGATTGGTACCATACTCGAGGTGCTTGTTTGAGACCATAGATGGATTTCCTAAGACGACACACTCTTCCAGAGCCATCATTGAAACCAGGGGGTTGTTCCATGTAAACCTCCTCTTAAAGAGCACCATGTAGAAAAGCATTGTTGACATCTAGTTGGTTTATGTGCCAGCCATGAGAAAGTGCAATGGTCAGAACAACCCGAATAGTAACTGGTTTGATGACTGGGCTAAAGGTCTCAGAGTAATCAATCCCCGTGCGCTGATGAAAGCCTTTAGCCACCAATCGAGCTTTGAAACGATCCAAGGAACCATCAGGCTTATATTTCACAGTATAAACCCATTTGCAGCCAACAATGTTCTGACCAGGATGAGCGGGTACAAGTTCCCATGTCCCTTGTTGAACCAAAGCATCAAATTCCACAGACATAGCCTTCCTCCATTCAGGTACCTGTAAAGCTTGAGAAGCACAAGTTGAAATAATATGATGAGGTAATGGTGAGTGTGTGACAACATTAGCTTGTTTACGAGAACGAAGGGTCATTGGGTGGGTACGTTTGGGTGGAGAGGCTTTTGGATCATGATGATGACCCAAGGTAGATATGAGATTATTTGTAGTGGGAGTAATGGTTGAGGGGTTGGTGTTGGGTACATTAGGTAAGGATGGAGTAGTTGGGTTTTGTTTGGGCCGGCGGTGATAAGTGATGAGGACCGGTGGGTTAGAAGCTGGTGGAGTGTTATGAGGAGCAGGGTTAGGGGAGTCTTGTGTTATTGGGGTACGAGTAGTAGGAGACGCCTTTGCTAGTGATGTACCTGAGATAGGAAGATAAGAGATAGGAGGTTGAAGCCAACTGTCAATTTCAGAGGACAGATCTGTAACGGGTGTTGTATTATTAGAGAAAGGGAAGACAGCCTCATTGAACACCACATGCCGACTAAAAAAGATGCGATTGGTAGTAGGATCAAGACAGCGATAAGCGCTTTGTTGATCGCAATACCTAAGGAAAATACAAGGTCTAGACCGTGGTTCTAACTTATGAGCTGCATAAGGACGGAGCCATGGAAAACATTGACATCCGAAAATAGCAAGTTTTGTGTAATTGGGAGGTTTTTGAAAAAGTTTTTCATAGGGAGTACAAAAACCTAGAGATGCTGTTGGTTGCCTATTAATTAGATATACAGCAGTTAAAAAGGCGTATGACCAATATTTTAACGGCATAGAAGAGTGGTGGAGTAAAGTGATCCCTGTTTCTACAATATGACGATGTCGGCGTTCAGCGAAGCCGTTATGTTCAGGGGTATATGGAGGGGTCAGTAAGTGAGTAATAATACCACAAGAGGCCAGAAATTTCCCTAGGGATATGTATTCACCCCCTCCATCTGAATAAACCATTTTAATAGATTTTTGAAAAAAGTTTTCTACGATCTTCTTAAATTGTTGAAAAATTGAAGTTACCTCAGACTTGTGAGTGATAGTGTAAAACCAAATGTATTTTGTGTAGTGATCAACAAAAATAACATAATAACGAAAATCATCCACAGAATTAATGTGTGAGGGACCCCAAACATCTGTATAAATTAAATCAAGTGGACCTGAACTGGAAAGGGAAGATTTAGCAAAAGGTAACTTGTGACTTTTATTACTTGCGCATGAAGTGCATAAGGACAAATCCTTATTAACATCTTTAAAGGAAATACCTAATGAGGAAATAACTTTTTGAGTGATGGGAAGGGCAGGATGTCCTAAACGACAATGCCATTTATTTAGAGAAAATTTTGTAGTAACATTGACACATGGTGATGAAGGAACAGGAACATCAGGCAAGCTGTAGACGTCACCTTTATTCATACCCCGTAACAAAATTGCTCCCGTTTTCCGGTCCTTGACAAGACAAAAAGAAGGGTGAAACTCGATTAGTACATCATTGTCACGACATAATTTGGCAACTGAAATTAAATTAGTATGAATAGAAGGAACAAAAAGAGTATTAGGTAAGGAGAGAGAATGAAGGGTCATATTCCCAACTTGTGCAATTTCAAGACTTTTACCGTTACCAATAATGAGGGAGTCTGTGCCGGTGTAATCGGACGCCAGGGTAAGATTGTTTAAATTATCGGTGACATGATTAGTTGCTCCTGAGTCCAGCAACCATCCGGTTCTCCTGGTCGTGGCAGTATTGGCCTGGGGGGATAATTTTGTTGTTCAAACCTGTGCCAACAATTTATAGCGAGATGGTTCGGTTTGCTACAAATTTGACATATAACGGCACCCAGACTGGTATTTCCCCCAAAATTAGTACGCCTGCCCCCGGGATTATTATTTCCACGTCGATTTGAATTGTAGAAGTTGGTGGGACGTGGGCCTCGATTTTGATTTTTGAAAAATTTATTCTGAGTATTGGGCCTATTGGGTAGAGTCTGAAACTGGGCTGATGGACCTGGGCCTAATATAGACGCGTTCTGGTCTATACTTCTGCGAACGGTCATTGCGACCGAACTGTCTTCTTCCTCTTTCCTTTCTACCGTAGCTGCGTTCGCAGTAACAACAGCCGCAGAATTCAAGAGCTCCCTCCTTCGCAACTTGTCTTCGAATCTGACCAGTAAGGAGTGGAGTTCTTCGAAGTTAGTTTCATCTGGGCGGATGGAGTTCTTCACGGATTCAAACTCGGGACGAAGACCCTCCAAGGCTTGAATGGCAAAGTCTTCATTGTCAACAGGTCGGCCGACCATGGCTAGTTCATCCGCGAGGGTGCGAAGGTGGTGAAGATATTCTGCTACAGGTTGCGACCCCTGTTTAGCATGGCGGAACTGGTCTTTAAGACTTCGAATTTTGGAAGCTGACCGGGTCCCGTATAGGCGTTCCAGTGTTTTCCAGACGGAGGCGGAGGTCTTTGCAGACCCAACCAGCGGTTTGCAGGCGGAACTGAGAGAAGATACAAGGGCGTGCCGCACCAGACGATCCTGTCTCTTCCATCGCAGAAAGTTGGCAGCTTCAGTTTCTGGAGGAGGACTGATTTTTTCATCAATATACTGATCTAGATGAGACCCGAACAGAAGGTCCATTACTTGGTCTCTCCATACAAGGTAATTTGATCCATCTAGTTTTTCTGGGAATTGGTTAGGGCTGAGCATAACAAGGCCATCCGGGGTTAGGGGATTATTGGCTGAGAGAGATGATGTTGAGTTATCATTCACGTCTTCTGGACTTTTGTCTCTATTATTTTCATGAGCCATGGGCAGAGAAAGGTGATGCGGGGGGATAGTTCAGTGAAGAGAATAGGCCGTTTAGGCCTCTAGAGGCTCTGATACCATAACAACGTTTAGAATAAGGAGGAATTGAGACTGAAAACCTTGATTCATTCCATGAAATGATATCCTATTTATACAACATTTTAGAGCTAGGCTACTAATTATAATATTAAATACAAAGATTTGTAACTGAAATATTAAATACAAATATACATGACCCGCGTGAACTTCCATAGGGCTCATCTATTACAGATGTAGACCAATAATTGGAAGGAAGTCCTGCTGTTGCAACTTAAGAATCACCAACATTTTCAGGCCATTGCTTTAGAGTTTATCTCTATAGTGATGAAAACGGGTGTCTACACGACCCCGGGGGGCTTTTATCATTTACTCTTTCTGTTTGTTTCCTGTTTTTTTCGCAGAATAAAAGAATAAAAGCATGACGTCCCGATTCATCGGATCGTCATGAGGGGGAGAGTGGTCCACATGTTGTTAACACTGAACAAATCATTCTGGGACACTTCACTCCTCCATCACAAAACTCAATACCTTCTCTACTATCTCCGCAACTCAAATCAAATGGTCAGCTACACTCACAAATCAACAATCATTATGTTCCGCTGTGCCACCGACAAGTTCTCCTCAAATGCATGCATTCCAAATAGTCAAAAAACTACATTGTGGAGGAGACAGAGGTCAAATACTCGTGTCCTGAAGATGAATTCCATGGGCGTCTCCTATTCTCCAAAGAATATTCATTCTAGAGGCGTCACCGGACCTCATCCAAGCTGATCAAGAGCAACTTTTGGAAGGCAAGGACTACATGCAAGATACAGAAGGTCCCTCAACCCCCGGTATCAAAGATCAAATTGTCAAGAAGACATCAAAGGGGAGATTGCAAGGATTTCTTCAGATTTCTTCAGATAACAACAAAGACAAAGATATCTGCGCTGCAATGCTGATTCAACACGATTGATCACCAAGGGGGAGATTGTTGGGAATATTTTATGGTGTTCAATCTAGTTAATTATCTTTGTATTTGTGTAGTTATCAATTAAACGTGTAATACGGGCCACAAATGTGTATCAGCCCGGGGGCTTCCTTGTAACCCGTAAGTTAGCCAACTTCTCCTATAAAAGGAGGCTAACTTACGGGAACCCTAACTGATCGATAGAGGCTGAGAGTACGAAAAGGCGAGATAGAGAGAGATTAGGGTTGCCGCTGCTCTCCTTCTCCAGGGAGAGCAGCGGACAGTTCATACGGTATACTAGGATATAAGTGAACTTCTTTCAAATTTGGGTTTAATCTTGTCGATTTCTTCTTATCTGCTTCTTCTTAACGGCTATAGATTGTTCGATTGTTTGTATTCTGGGTTTATCAGCCTCGTCAACCTCCAACCTATCTTCTTTTTATTGGACATTTTTGGCTTTTTTGGATTATTTTTTAAATAATAATAGGTCAATATCACTTTTATGATAGGCATTCTGTGTGAATTATGCCCAGATTCAACAGTCGAATAATCTAAGAATAATTGGAAGAATTAAAACAGTAGAAGAGAAATTTCACCAATAACGTATATCGTGTATATAGAATGATGAATTCATTATGAACAATACACAACACTCGAACAAGCTAGAGAGAGAATTTCTAATCTACGTGCTCTACCAGAATAATATGCGGAATAAAATGTGTAGAAACTTCCCCTTTCTAACGTGAGAGCTCCAAGAATGATGCGTGAGGCAATTTAGGAATCGGGAACTCTCAAGCATGCTTGGTCCATACTGCCTTTATTTATAGGCATACGGCCGAGCATCCTAGTTATAATAGGATGAACCTGATTAATCTAATTTAGTGGCCCCTAATTAATTACATACGCCCACTGATTAAATCCTAATTAAACAAAGATAAATCTAATTAAATTGAACACAATAAAATATATCCTAACACATTCCGGCATAAGGGTTGCTGGAAACTTAAAAGAATGATCGTTTAGAGCCTTAGAAGTCTCATTGATGAGGCGTAGGCCGTTATCTTTAAGTATTTTTCTTTTACTTTTCCGATACTTTTGAAAATCGGAGTTATTGTTTATCGGTCTTCCTTTGACCAGTGGAGGACCTAGGGAGGGGCCTAGCGGGACAAGTGCCCCCGCTTTCGATCAGGAATTTCACTACTAGTACTTAGAGTAAAATCAATGCCCCCACTTGCGGTCAAGAATTTCACTACTATTAGTTCGGGTATTAGATAATTAGTGCCCCCAATCCGTACAAAAAAATTATCAATATTAGATAATTAAGATACTAAAATGTTATGGTTATATAAATTAAAAGTTAATACACAATATTTAAATTTGAGCTAAATTAAAATAAAAGATCTCAAAAAAGGAGAAGAAAATAGTTAAGGTTTTTTTCTTTTGATAGAAAATAGTTAAGGGTTGAAAACCCAAAAAGTTAAAATGTAAACAGTAACCAAATTAATGTGCAGCCATCTTAAAGTAATCTAAAACAAGTAAAAGTTTAAAAATGAAATCCACTAATAACTCACTATTACTCTACAAGGCAAAAGGGGGAAAACTTCCAAAATATAAACCCTCACGGAAGTTTACTGTAACACCCCGGCCCCGTAGGCCCCGAGGTAGTTACTTCTGACCTCTAGTACTGTCCTCACAAACCACCACTAGCTTTTTCCGCGCACTTTGTCCTCACTGGTGCACGCCCTGAGAAATTTCCCAGGGGGTCACCCATCCTAAGACTAGTCCCGTGCAAGCACGCTTAACTTTGGAGTTCTTGGCTAATGAGCTCCCTTAAAAGGAGATGCACCTTGTTTGTATGAGTAGTACTATTAATCCGTTTAAATTAAATCTCAGGTGTTACAATCACCCCCATTTAGGAACGCAACGTTCTCATTGCGCCCGTAAACCAATCTCAATCAAATCTCAGAATCCTTCCGCCCGCTAAGTGTCTGCCCGATATCCAACGGATCAGCACACTGTCGTAGTGTTGCTCTGATACCATTCGTAACACCCCGGCCCCGTAGGCCCTGAGGTAGTTACTTCTGACCTCTAGTACTGTCCTCACAAATCGCCACTAGCCTTTTCCGCGCACTTTGTCCTCACTCGTGCACGCCCTGAGAAACTTCCCAAGGGGTCACCCATCCCAAGACTACTCCCGTGCAAGCACGCTTAACTTTGGAGTTCTTGGCTAATGAGTTCCCTTAAAAGGAGATGCACCTTGTTTGTATGAGTAGTACTATTAATCCATTTAAATTAAATCTCAGGTGTTACATTTACACTCTGGCCTCTTTCTGGGGCTTGGTGCTGCCTTGCTAAACTACCTCTGCAGCGCCGCACCGCCCAATCACCCGTTCATTTGTATTTTGTAAGTTTCTTTAGATGATTATCTTACATATTGCTTGATGTGCTACATCGAGAGAGATGTTTTTAAAAGTATTGATAATGAAACTATTATGCAACATTTTCAGAATATGAAAACTCGTAGTATTGATTACCAAAGTTGCAGAAATGAACTATATAATATGTAATTAACTACTCCGTATAATTTATGCGCGCTATTGCCTTACTTTTTACCATCTTTATTACATTTGAAAATTTTATTATAGAGTAAGTTTAGTGTCTAGTGTGCTCCTGCTCTGACAAATCTCTGGATCCGCCATTGCCTTTGACGATTTGTAATGGGGTTGGGCGCACAATCCCAATAACATAATCAAAACATGAGGACTATTTTGATAAGAAATGAAACACAAACCGAAAACGCGCTCAACAACATATATCTTTTTTATACTTTTCCTTTTCTTTCATTACTTGGTTTTCCTTTTCCCAAGCATTTTAAAGTATCCAAACATACCCTTAAGACATTGCGTTTATGATTGATCCCCTATTCCCCTGCATAATCAGTATTTAGTAGCAACTGTTGGTTAAGTTTTTTATTTGGTGAGGTTTGCAGGACCAGGATGCTCATCCTTTGGATTTGGATCATTTCTGCAACTTGGACCTTTCAAAGTTCACAGTGACGGAAAAACATTGTACATGAATGACTATTCTTGGAACAAAGGTAAGCAATCAAAATCTATTTGGATTGAATAATTTTAGTAAAGGATCAGAAAGGAGGTGATAATATTACTCCTTCCTTCCCAATGATATAGTCCTTGTTTGACCTCAATATCTTTGATGTCATCATGTCATACAAATATGTATTTATGAAAATTATAATTCTGTAATTTTTCAAAAGTATACACTGCTTTTGAACAAATTGGTCAATACTCAATAGTATCTTTCATACGGCGTATTATTTAAATTTATTTATGAAATATGTAAGGTCAAAGTTAATGAAGCTCGATTTAAAAAATCAAATTGTTAGTATCAAATTGGAATTGTGGGAGTAATGGATTATGACTCCCCCCAGTTCCTTGTTGGGATTATAAAAAATCAAGGGCAAACTCAATAAATCAATTTTAAGTGTGTGTATCTTTAAAAGAATCTTAATCATGTTTGATTTTTCTTGGTAGTTCACAATGTAGGGCAAAACATGTAGAAGTAATTTTTTTCTTGGCATTTTGTCAATGCACCCAACATATCTGAGCTTCCAAGTGCTGTTTAGAGTAGTAAAACATTTCAGACAGAATCTAAAATTATAATAGCTGAGGTTTGCTGCATTTGTTTGAAATGACAGTGGCAAATGTACTGTTCCTGGAATCTCCGGCTGGTGTGGGGTTTTCCTATTCCAACACAACCTCTGACTATAACACCACTGGCGACAAGAGATCGGCAGAGGATGCATATACCTTTCTAGTTAACTGGTTTGAGAGATTCCCGCAGTACAAAAACCGGGATTTATACTTAACAGGAGTGAGCTATGGTGGTCGTTTTGTGGCACAGCTTGCTTACACCATTGTAGCCCATAATCAGAATCCCAACCAGACATTCATTAACCTCAAAGACATTGCTGTGAGTCATGTATACAGTGTTTTTCTCATCAACCATGGAATTTTTTTAATGTTCCTACAAGTTGTTTTTTTGCAGATTGGCAATCCTTCTCTGGACCGTCGTTTACTTTTGAAAGGGAACTTGGAGTATCTATGGACACATGCAATGATTTCAGATAAAACTCATGCAGGAATTAACAAGTACTGTGACTTTGACAATGCAAACTATTCTGCCAGTTGCGAAGCGTACATCTCCAAAGGAAAAACTGAGGTTGGGCCTGTGCTTAGAGATAACATTTACTCTTCTGCCTGCAAACAAGATGCACTGAAACCCCAATCTCCTGTTTCAGTAAGTCTTTATGTTTACCATTCTGCTATATGAAATGATATTATAGTTAAACTCCTCTTACTATAACAAAGCCAATACTAAATGAATGTGATCTGTGATATGCTGATGAAGGGATATGATGAATGCTCATGCAATTATGTTGAGGCTTTCGTTAACCGAAAGAACGTGCAAGAAGCATTGCATGCCATCAATACCAATTGGACAATTTGCAGGTACTCTAGTCTGCACAATCAGAACCGATTTTACATATCAGGGTCATGTTGAGGTTCCTCAACATAAAGATTGAATCTAATATTCTAATCAGGGTCTTATATGTCATCATTATCTTTTTAGTTTCTTGATGTGGAATTCTATCAAGAACCAAAAGCATTTCCATTTTAAAGTAAAAAACTACCCCGATAGTATATACACCTCAAGCAATCCGACTATCCGAGTTAAAGATCAAGTCTTTGCATTGTTGGGATCGAACTTTTTTTCAAGAACGAAAAAAGGCGAGCTTATAAAAATACCAATAACAGAATAACTCAAACCTGCATGCAGCAAATATATTGGTCGAGGGAAATGGAAAGATTCGCCCGATACGGTGTTACCCGTACTCAAGCAGCTCATTGCAAATAAAGTAAACATATGGATTCTGAGGTAATCCCATAAGTACCCCTCCTCCTCCTACACAGACACAAACTTAAAACCTATAATCTATAGGATAACTTTGTTACTAATGCCCCAAAAATGATGCAGCGGGGACATAGATGGAATTATATCAGTAACAACAACCAGGCTTGCAGTAAATGCTATGCAGCTTGCTGAGGTGACTGATTGGCGTCCATGGCTTTCTAACCAGGTACTTATGAATTTCTTACTTATGAATCTCTTAAGTACTTTGTGAGGGGAGAATGCCTCTGCTAAAACAAAGAATTTATCCCTTCACAAATATAATGGGTTAATTTGCAGGAGGTGGGAGGATATGTGGAAGGGTATAAAGGGTTGACACTGGTCACAATACGAGGAGCGGGGCACGAATTTGCGAGCTACCAACCAGAACGATCACTGACTGTAATTTCAGCTTTTCTTCAAAACAAACTTCCCCCAGCTGTTTAATTAGCTACAGCAAGTTTCTTATTTCCATTAAAATAATAATACCACATGTTGTATGTGAAATGCAATAATTGAATAAACGCATGTGTATAGAGTTATAGACTACTTGGCATTGATGTAGCAAAAAGGAAGAGGCACTAGTCAGTGAAAATTGAAGTTTATAATTCTCAAAATGATAACAATACCAAAACAAAACAAAACTTCATGAGTTCAACATGTAAAAATGTTCCTATGCTCATTTTAAAGCTAACCGGCCTAAGCATCTCAAAAGAGAACAACTACTACAAAATATTGAAGTTTATAATTCTCAAAATGATAACAATACCAAATCCAAAGTACAATTTAGTTTTTAGATTACTAACAATGTATATGACAAGTTCATATTTATCATCTAAGAAGTAAAAAAAGGGAAAATAGCCGAACAGAATCAAAATAAGTAATAGGTCACTGACTCACTGTTAATTTTAAGAACCCAGTGGAGTAGTAGAAATGAAATTAGGGGTTTTAATTAAAAGAAAGTTTATTTAATGGTTGAAAAATCACATGAACTGAATAACAAAGTTCATATAAAATTGAAGAAATACATACCCTGTAAATTGAGGATTCTGTTCGCTTCAATAACAATTCAGGCAACTATATGCCATTCTTCTCAAACACACTCTCTCCTTATCAACTGGGATTGGGTTGTCAGACACATTTACCTAAGACAACCCTCACCATATTAAAGCATATAACACTTACTTTTGCATATATATCAACTGGTACTTATTTTGCAGTGCATCCCTAGCTTGTTTAGAATTTTGGATTTAGCAATGCAAGTTGTCTAAAGTTTTCTTAATAGAAAACTACACAGCGGCATCCTTGGTATAATGATTCTTCAAGAGTAAGCTCTTTCTTGGTATATCCTTCTTCCACCGAATCCCAAAGATCATAGGATATAAACATGGTCTTCATCAAGTGCTCCACATCATCTAAAAAATAAAACAAAGAGACAAAAATCAAAACAATTGAAATAAGTAAACAGTCGAGTTAATTCTATGGACCAAGTGAAGGATGGCAGCAATAATTAAACCGATGCTCTTGCTGTGGATTTTTAGTGGAGCAACTGTGTATGTGTGTTATTCAAAAATTGGATACATGGATGAATCCTCACACCCCCAATTTGATATAAACTTGGGTAAATTAGATGAAACATTTTTAGTTAAACTGATGTGAAAAGTCAGGGTGAATTAGATGACAACTTTGTCAAAGAACGAAAAATAACCAAAATTTTGAATTCAATTCAACGACGGGTGAAAATCGTAGAAAAGCTATTATGTTTAAAGGAATGAAAAACACCTGAATCATAAATTGAAAATGGAAATAGAGAGGGTTATTAAATTACCTTGAATGCTACTGGGACGAAAGAAAGGTAAAGAAGAGGTGAAGGAGGTCAAAACTCAAAAGAATGGATCCAAGAAGTGCTTAGAAGAAGATAACTCAGCTGTCAATATTAAGGTTATATGTAGTTACTTAAATGTCCCCGAACGGGAAAGAGACTTAACTCACTTAATACACACACAGAGAGAGAGAGAGATTACTCCGTATGATCGACCAAACAATAAATTTGGTGAAATTTGCCTTTGACTATCTATCAGCTTGGAGCCTTGGAATAGGAAAAAGGTTATGATTATGATATAATGATATATTAGTCAATAACTACCGATGGTGTAACTATATTTTCATGTGAGTTAACCGTATAATCTATATTAGCTTCTAACCTTTAATTAGAAGCTAAAACTTGAAATTTTTTAAGACATGTTTTGGTTTTACAATAGGCTAAAAAAATAACAGAGTGAACTTTTTTAATAATCAGGATTTTTATTCAAATAAATTAGACCGAGTTATAAAATTATAAGCTAAAGAAAAGGACAAATTGCACTTCGTACTTGTATACAAACAAAGTTGGCTTTTCAAGAGGCTGGAAAAATAAAACAGGGTGAATTTTGCATAGCAAACAGGCTTTTTTAGTAATAAAATAGACCATGTCATAAAATTATAGGATGAAGAAAAGTATTAATCAAATCACAGTCATTGAATCATAGCTGAAGATGATATTTATGAAAGGAAAAATAACTATTCAAGTTTAAAGTTGAACATAAAGGGTGCAAATTTACACATTACAGATAAGCACAAGTGCAAAAGTGGAGATTTAGCAGGAAATTAGCTAGAGCCAAAGAAATGTAAAGAAGAGGAAAAAATGCTAGGGAGGGACCATTGGCATTGTGAAGTTTCTCAACAAATGCTACTAAGTAAATAATACTACGTATGTGTAGAGACCCTAAAATGAAAAATCATTTTTATTGTAGCATGAGGTGATTGTGTTTAAAACAGAGCTTCAAGACATTCTATACATTTCACACATTCTGAAAAAAGAGCTTCACTTTTTAGACAGGGAGATTCAAGACTATGATTTAAAAACTCACTGTGACATTTTTACAAACACCTTAAGGGCATTCTAAAACATAGATTCCTAGAAATGAATGTTCTCATACTGAATCTCAAATTCAAAGCAATTTAGTGAACCCTACACAAAAACATACTCCCTCCGTCCCGCTAACAATGGGACAAGAGGGAGTGACACGCAAACCAATAAAAATTAGTTTATGTGATTGATATTGAATTGATAAAGTAAGAATAAAGTAAGAATGATTTAGAGTCACACAAATTTTTCCAAATTTGGTATGGGACAATCTTATTGGGACGGACCGATAAGATAAAATGGGACAATCATAGCGGGACGGAGGTAGTATTAAAAAATTCAAACCATGAACATATAAAATTCTTAATTATTACATATACCGCATAAAAACCAAAATTATGCACCTACATACTGTGTTCTTAGTAAAGCAGACAACCCGGAAGGTGGTTGGATGATCAATCGTTGATAAATCACAAAACAAAAAAAGAGAGTTCGGAATCAATAACTTTGAGGAGAGCCGCATGGGCCTTTGAGGAGTAGTGGTGAAATGCAGAGGGAACTGCGTTGCGGAAAAAACTTCCAGAGATGCCAAGATATATACCGCTGAGGAAGAGTAAAACGGTAGAAGAAAATATAGCGATAAAATAGAAAGAGAGGAAGAGATGCGAAGAAAATGAAAGTTACTCGAATACTCTCAATCTTAGGCGGGAGAATGACTTAAGTGAGTTAATTAGATATATATATATATATATATATATATAGATATATAGATTTATACTAGAGCACCAACATTTCACATTAAAATATCAAGTTTAACATAATTTGAACTCTTGAAGCATGCAGAGTTGTTATACCGTGGAAGCGGTGCATGATGAGCATCCTGCTCCCAGAGTTATATGAAATGTAAATCGTGTGGATCAACATGTAACTTCAGGTTAATCCAAATGTAAATTACACTCATTCAAATGTAACTCGTTGAAATGTAAACTGTTTTAATTGATATGTAACTTGGAAACCAATCAGATGTAACCTGAGAAATGTAACTTTAACCTATTGAAATGTAAAACGCCTTTACAGATATGTAACTCCATATATTAATTAATACAAGTATATATATAAACCATTTGCTCCATCGATCAACATCAACATAATCTAGAAATTTATATTAATCTGAATTTCATTAATAGGCAACTATTAAAATGGAGAAATCTATGTTTAGTGCTCTTCCCGTACCATAGCAATTAAATTTTGAAGATCTGCAAGTCTACAACATTAAGAAACAGAGCACAAACACATATGGCCGACCATCCCTCCGCAGGGGATGCCATGGAGATACTTATTGGCTACACCGGCAATCTGTCTAATCTCTATATCAATGCAACCAATTCAAGGCATACGATTGCACCAATTCAAGTGCGTCGGCGATGATTTCTGCAGCTGGACCGAAGAATTGGTGGGTAGACACTAAAAGCTCCTGCTGAAGATCGATCGATACTCTATACTTTTGGAAGACATTGTTCTTGTTTTTAATTAATAAAGTGACGTCATTTTGGGATCGGCACACCATGCTCACGGTGAGCCGATCCCACGGTATAATTTGTGAAGCATGCATGTGTCACCAATCAAAGTATCAAAGTAACTTGATATTCTAATAAACTATTCATAGTTATGGTGTATGTAATTGTTAGTCACTAAATAGTAAATATAATAAACACCTTCCATTGACATTGGTCTTTGAACTAATTAATTAAGATTGTTGATGAGTTAATATTTACCATATATTTATAGGAAAATAGCTAGATTGACTACAACAAGAAATATAAGGAAGGAGATGCTTCATTTATTAGGAGTTATAACTTGTACATGTGGCTTCTTCTAGATCTTCTTTTAATTTTCTGTGACTGTTTTGTTTAGCATATTAGTATTATCAATAAAGATTTTATCAAACACTACTTCACTAATTACACACAAAGAATTGAAGTCATTTTAATTCTTGAAATGGAAAATTGATTGTAATAATCTCATCTATTGGCGGTCCGCTCATAATAATCTCAATTATCGATTATTTCAGAATAATCCCAACTTTAGGGACCTTCCGCTAATAATGGTCCGACATGACCGACTATAAATAAATTCTTAAAGTTTCTAAAGAGATATAACAGGTAATCCTTATAAATAATCCCAAATTTTAATTTTTACGCTTAATTTCTATTAAAAATTCACTTGTTAGAGCAGGTAATATGCGATCATAGACCATTATTGGCGGACGGTCCATATAGTTGGGATTGAACAAAAATAATCAATAGTTGGATTATTGTTAGCGGACCAACAATAGTTGAGATTATTATTTTCAATTTTTCTTTTTTTTGGAGTTTCACTTTTTATGATATATGAATACTATTTTGTACTTTGACAAATTTTTTTGTGTTTTTGTCAATGAACCTGATCAATCATTATTTGAAAACGAATTTGGGACATATGTAGTAATAAAACATATTTTAACATAATCTCTTCCTAATTCAATTTTTAGAGATAAAGACTCAACGATAATAGTTCATTTCAGATCTTACTAGACAAATCCTTAATCATCTAAATTAATAAAGGGTGTTTTTTGTAATTAATACAATCCATCTAAAAGTTAGAGTCAAGAACATTTAAGTATAAAATGTGTTACTCCGTAATAATTTAGTACTACCTCCGTCCCTTAAAACTTTGCCAAAGTTGACCGGCACGGAGAATAATAAAGTAAAGAGAAATTTTACAAAATAGGACTATTACTAATCAAAATTTCAAAAATAGGACATCCACTTTTCCCCCGACTCGCATAGGACCAAATATGCGCTGAATTGCCAAAAATGACCTCATTAAACGATACACACGTACTCTTCCCTTATTTGACGGTTAATTCTTTCCCCCGGCTATTCCCGGTTTCCAAGCATCCATTATGATCATGGCCGCCGAAAAAGAGATTCCAAATTTAAGGTGAGAGCTGCGAACATAGGACATCCACTTTTCCCCCGGCTACTCTCCAGAACATGTATCGGAACGGTTGAGAGCTGCGATTGAAGAGACCAGTCATTCTACGACTATCAAAAGTGCACTTCGATTCAAAACTTCAAAGCACAGAGGTAGTAAACTTTCGTCTTAGACGACGCTCAAAGTTGAGGAGAGTAGAATCGTTGAGTAGAGCTGATGGACAGAGCTATGGATTTGTCAAACAAAGTTTCCGTCAGAATCAATTCCGAAATAGTAAGTAGTAATTTCGTTGAGTAGAGGAATGTCTGAAATTGACAAAAGTTTGACAGTTAAAGGAGTTTAGAAAGTTTAAATCGTTTGAATGTAAAAACATTTCATTGCATCATGTTGTTATATGGTGGCATTTTAAGTGTGTATGAAGACTATGGTTACATTTTGCGTGAATTAGTTATACTTTATGAATATGCGTTTGTTTGAATTAGAACTTCAGAATGTGATGCATAAATGACAGTTTAGTGAGAATTTAGGAGATCATTTTTAGTTTGTGATGTTGTTATACAACAAAATAGTGCAAAATAAAGAAGTATATGGTGGCATTTTGTATGAAAAGTGACATTCCACTAATATGTGGTTATATAGTGGGGTTGTAAGTATGTATCATTACTGTGATGACAGTTTGCATGAAATAGTGACATTTTATGAATATGTCTTAGATTGAACGGAAATTAACACAACATTGAATTGGCAATTGAAAGTCTGACACATAAATGACAGTTTAGTGAGAATTTAGGAGATCATTTTTAGTTTGTGATGTTGTTATACAACAAAATAGTGCAAAATAAAGAAGTATATGGTGGCATTTTGTATGAAAAGTGACATTCCACTAATATGTGGTTATATAGTGGGGTTGTAAGTATGTATCATTACTGTGATGACAGTTTGCATGAAATAGTGACATTTTATGAATATGTCTTAGATTGAACGGAAATTAACACAACATTGAATTGGCAATTGAAAGTCTGACACATAAATGACAGTTTAGTGAGAATTTAGCAGATCATTTTTAGTTTGTGATGTTGTTATACAACAAAATAGTGCAAAATAAAGAAGTATATGGTGGCATTTTGTATGAAAAGTGACATTCCACTAATATGTGGTTATATTGTGGGGTTGAAAGTATGTATCATTATTGTGATGACAGTTTGCATGAAATAGTGACATTTTATGAATATGTCTTAGATTGAACGGAAATTAACACAACATTGAATTGGAAATTGAAAGTCTGACACATAAATGACAGTTTAGTGACAATTTAGGAGATCATTTTTAGTTTGTGATGTTGTTATACAACAAAATAGTGCAAAATAAAGAAGTATATGGTGGCATTTTGTATGAAAAGTGATATTCCACTATATGTGGTTATATTGTGGGGTTGTAAGTATGTATCATTACTGCGATGACAGTTTGCATGAAATAGTGACATTTTATGAATATGTCTTACATTGAACGGAAATTAACACAACATTGAATTGGAAATTGAAAGTCTTACACATAAATGACAGTTTAGTGAGTTTTTAGTGTGTCATGTTGTTATAAAACAACATAATGCAAAATAGAGAAGAATATGGTGGCATTCTGAATGAAAAGTGAAATTGCAAGAATTATCACAATTTATGGGAAAGTATGAAACTGGCAAACTAATGACTTAAGTAGTTAATATTACCATGTTATTTATGAATATCTTGACTTGAATGACAAAATATTTTACAAATTGATTATAATGCCTATATTTGTGTGAACTTGACAGACAATAACAAGAGCTTTTAAGAAGTCAGTGTTAGTGGATTTGGAAAACTTGCGTGTCAATTCTTACTGCAATGTTGCTGAAGTTCTTAAAAGAATAAGGACATGTCTTAGCACTGAGGAACTGACTGATTTCAGTAACACCATATTTGGTTGGATGTTAAAAATTGAAGATATGTCTTGGAATAGTGGACAACTACTGTTAGGATTTGTTGGAAACTATGTCACTGAAGTTAATGGAAATGCAGATGACAGTGTCATCAGATTTCATATTCAAAACAGTGTAATCAGTTTTCAAAAGGCTGATATGGCAACAATGTGTGGTTTAAAATTTGGGAGTCTGAAGCCAAATATTTCAGAGGAGCCTGAGGGAGATATATGGAGAAGATATTTTGGGAACAAGGCTACAGTGTCCCGTGCAGATATCCAAAATGCATTGAAGAGTTATGAGAGCACTGATGAAGGAAGAATGACAAAGTATGGAGTGAAGCTGGCTCTACTACACATATTTTCCCATTGTTTGTTTGGGAATCAAACTGCCAGGCCTATGAAAGCATACTACATAAACCTGGTAAACGATTTGGATGCATTCAATGCTTACCCATGGGGTGATGATGTTTGGAACGAGTTGGTTGACAAAATAAAACAAAGTTGTGAGGCATTAGATAAAGGCAAAGGGGACAGAGTTACATTCCCTGGGTACATGGTGACTTTACAATGGTGGGCATTTGAGACATTCCCAGGACTTGCAAAAGCTGGTTTGTGCAAGCTAATAAAGGGCAGAGAAAACATCTTACCAAGGACACTGAAGTGGGAATTCAAGAAAAAACCTACACTGGAGGTGCTTTCCCGAATAATATTCAAGAATGACAAGGTATTAGTTTTAATAGTCTAAATATATCTAGATTATAAGGTTACAATTTTTTTACTAACAAAGTGTACTTGTTTAGTTTGAGTGGACACAGATCGTACCAACAGAAGAAGAGATTGCCATGATTGGAGGAAACAATGACAGAGGTGGCCATGGAATGGACATTGTTATTCCAAATGTGGGGAGGCTAGATGCTGAAAAGATGAAAGCTATTGCAGAAAAAGGCAAAAAAAGGCAATACAGACCAGAAGCATGAAAAGGAAAACAAGAAAAGTAGTGAAGCGAAAAGGTAAATCTGGCGAGGGAACTTCTAAAAGAAGAAAGAAGATTGAGATGGAATTCGAAAGTGATGAGGAAACAAAGAGTGATGAAGGCACTGAGAGTGAGGATGAAGAAGATGATTCAAGTGATAGTGGAAGAAAAGCAGAGAAATATATTATGTTCATGAGCAAACATAGTAACAATATGCAAAAAAGCATGAGGAAACAAGCTAAGGAGACTGCCAAACTAGTGGCAGAAATGAAAAACATTAAGCAAACTCAGAAAATGCAGGAAGATCTTTTAAAAGAAGTTCTACTTATTGTCAAACAGATGTCACAAGGCAGTGATAAAGGTGAAGATGAGGACACAAGAGAAAGAACAGAGAAAGTTGAAAAGAATGAAAGTCCAGAAAAAGAAGAAAATGTTAATGAAAAAGAAGATGATGACATGACTGGGCAAGATTACGAGAATGATGAGGAACCTAGGCTAAAGGATGATGATACTGCTGACATTCATGTGCAAGAGGAGACTGAGTACATTGCTGCACAGACTGAGGATGATATTTTACATATTGGGGATGGTGGTGCAAAAAATGAGGATGTTGTTCTAGATAAAGATGTTGTAGAGACCGAGCACAATGAAGATGTAGTTTGTGACATGCCTACGTTTAACATATTGAGTCAGTCTCAAGAGATGGACAAAACTGCGGAATCTTGTTGGGGGATGGGGTCACAGGACAATAGTCAATTTGTCAAAGAGATTTGCAAAACTGCAGATGAAGTGGCCAAAAAGGCTTTTGAGAGCTATTCTTCCAATCCATGTACAGCAATCATAGTGAAGCCTAATCAGGTAACTAAAAAAAAAATAAAATGACATTCAAGTAGCATTTGGAAGGTATGAAACTGACATAAAAGTGACATTCGAAGTATTAGTGACAAATTAGTAAAGTTATGTGATATACAGTTTATGTGAAGTTATGAAACTGACAAATTGGTGACTTCTGTAGTACATATCACCATTGTATATATGATTTTTATGAATCTCAAAACATTTTATGTAATATTGTCTTGACTTGAATGACAAAATACTTTACAAATTGATTATAATGCTTATATTTTTATGATTATTTTTTAGTATGACATTGAGTGTATTAATACATTTTCAATAAATATAGAAAAGTATAATAAATAATATATATTATGGAAATGCCACAGGAACAAGAGGATCTTCCCAAACAAAAGTGTTTTGCTATGTCACCAGTGAAGTACACTCCATCAGAGCATTCGCCAAAGAGGAGGAAGAGAGAAAAGGGTAAGAAAAGAGCTGACAATGAATTTTTGCCTCCACTGAAGGAAATAGTTGGACCTTTCACAGAAGATCCAACAGAGAGCCCACCAGATAATGAAATAGAGAGGGTGAGAGCATACCTCCAAGTTGGATTGTTGAAGAATTTTCAAAAAAACAAAAATGGCAGAAGGTACAAAGTGGAAGAAGAAAAAATGGTTCACAAACCGTTCTTGCTAGACATTATGAAAGTTGAATCAAAAACATGGTTATATGACATGTTTACGAATCATGAATGGATCACTGACAAGGTAAATTCAAAAATGTTATAGTTTTGTCAGTCTAACTCCCAAGTGTACATTTATATGTATGTTTGTTTGTATAGAATGCCATTAAAAGTCAGTTGAATTAGTTTGTAATTGTTAAATGTGTGTTTTATTTTTTACAGCATGTTGAGGTAGTAATGTACTATTTGGGCATGAAACGGGTGCATTACAAACTGCCACAAAACTACACCACAATTGGGCCTTTTTTCTTGCAAATACTGAAGCGGGAGCTTGACACTATATCAAAGGGGCACTATACATACCACAAGTCAGCACAAGAAGAAAACATTGTTCGTGACATAATAGGTGCGAACAACTATAGCCTACACTGGAGCAAAGCAGACTTCGTGTACTTCCCTCTGAATACTGGCAACCATTGGGTTTTGGTAGTACTAGATATCAAGCAAAGAAAGGTAAGAGTGTACAACTCCAATGTTAGAAGAGGTGATTCACTAAGGGATATCAGGTCCTATGTTGCATGCATAACAGTCCTCCTGCCCAAAATAATGGACTATCACAAAGTGTACGAACAGATGGGTGAGGATCCTATGGGTGAAAGGTTTTTGGAAGTTGAGCCTGTAGAAGGATGTCCACAGCAAGATGATGGGTAAGAGGATATAAATTTGCTTAATCAGATTGTATAATAGTGTACTTTTTTATTTTAAAAATTTCTTTTAATTTTTGGTGTTATGCATCAGGGGAAATTGTGGAATGTTCATGCTCAAGATGGCTGAATTTCTAATGGTGGGGATGGACATGGATGACATATATCCTGAAGCAATACCTTTGTTTAGGGAAAAAATGGCAACTGAACTGGTCCTATATAGCAAGAGGAGGCAGGGTGAGAGAGAATGAAATGAAGCTATAAAGAAATGGGATTGTAGGATGAAACAATTATGTTTGTTTTGGAAGACTGTTATATTTACTAGTACTTTTAATATCATGTCAGGACATCTAGACATCTAGTACATTCGTTTTGAAAAACTTGGTTAAAGCAACTTTCATTGTGTTTTGAATGTATGAAATATGCTTTATGACAATGCATTGTGACAATGCATTTTATTGAATTACGTTCAAAAAATCTTTTTGATTTTTACATTAAAGATGACTTTGTGTTAATGCATTACACAGGGTACTTATATTTATGTAAGCACGGAGTTTTACATGAAGAAAATCCGTGATAAATGACATTTGGATGACAGTTTTTAGAAAACAAAATGACATCAACTTTGAAATCTATCTGTTAGAGGGACGAACGTCCCCTTGCCCAGTTTATCTAGAGCATTTTTTTATAGTAACATGTAGATGGATACTAGGATTGAATGTCATTTACATGTAGTAAATAAATGACAACAAATTGACAAGTAACATGACATTTTGTGGAATACAAAATGCCATCAAATGTCACATATGTCATTTATGCATAAACAAAATGACATTACATTATTGAGATGACATTTGGGATAAAACATTTGGTTAAAGCACAAGTCATAAACACTTAAATGCCAAGAATGGCTAAAGCACAAAACCTTAAACGTTCAAGGAAATGATAACCAAGTCCAAACCACATAGTAGAATTGTTAAAAGTACAAAAAACATAAGACAACATAAAATGAGTGGGCAAATCTACATCACTGGGTATTAATTGGAATTGGATTTCTACAAGTTTTCTTATTATGCCCAAGCACATGGCATCTAGAACATTTTTGACGTTTTGAACCTCTATATTCTCCAATGGATGGAATCCTGCATTTCTTAGGGCGACCAGGAGGACGCTTCAAACAACTTGGTGGCTTGCATCTCTGGTTTTGAATAGTAACAGGAATTGACCAACTGTCAGGATCAGCAATAGGATGCATGATACCAGATCATGTAGCAAGCCAAGCATCTCTTGTGTAATATGGAGATATGTACGTATAACATGAAAGGTGTGGGCGTATACCGATTGCAGCCACAACATGAACACACACAAATTGATCTAATTGAAAGTGGCCGCATGTACAACTTCTAGAGTTGAGGTTTACCACAAAGGACTTGCATCTACTGTCAACAACTTCAAATTCATATGCACATGATGGTTTAACCTGTGAAATAAAAAAAATAAGAATATGAAAGTAGATAAAAAAGAGAATTAGCAAAAGAATATAGCAGTAATATGTGGCTATGAAGTATGTAAAATGTCAACTTATATATGAATATTAAGTAGAAGAGAAATGATAAATAAAAACGCTAGTAAGACTATTTGAATATGAAGTACACAAAAATGACAAAATTATAAAGACAAAATGACATATTAACAAACAAAGTGGAATTATAAAAGGAGATGAAAAAATGAAAACCGGCTAATGGTATTCAAAGTCAAAAAATAAGCTTTGACATACCTTCATACGTGTGGATTCAGCTTGCAAAGCTACCAGGCGTTTCTCACATTTCTTTGTGAGTATAGTACTTGTTTTCTCAACTTTATCTTTCCTCTCTGTGAACCATTGTTGCATCCTTTCACGCAAGAAATCAACAAGTTTAGACACAGAATACTCTCTAGCACAGACATTGACTTTGTTCATAGACTCAGCACAATTTGATGTCATAATATTATATCTCTTTGGGCCAGACATTACTTTTGACCATGTGTTAGCACCTAATTTGTCTAGCCAAGTCCTTATCCTGGGGTCTTCAGAATCCAACATGGATAAGTAGTCATCATATTCTTTCATAGTTGCTGCCATATAGGCAGCTTTGAACTTCCATCTCAAACCAGCTGCAAATCCTCTGAATTTTGATGTTATGTTACGACCAAGATGAGCAACACAAAAACCGTGGCTAGCATGTGGCAAGAGTTCAGAAAAGGCCTTGATAAGCCCTTTATGCCTATCAGATACTACGTACAGGTCATGTCTGTACTTTATTGATTGACAAACTTTGGATAAGAACCATTTCCAAGAAGCTTTAGTTTCAGAACCACAAATACCAAATGCAATAGGAACTATGTGATCATTGGCATCTTGGCAACAAGCTGTAAGGAGAGTGCCTTTATAGTAAGCCTTCATGAAAGCACCATTCAATATAAGAACAGGTCTGCAGTAGGGCCAAGCTTCTATCCATGGTTTGAATGACATAAAAAAGGTAGAAAATGCATCATCCTTCCCTGTGACTAGATTAAACATAGAGCCGGGATTTGTTTTCTCAAGCACATAAGCCATTGAAGGCAAAAGCTGATAGGATTCAAGATCAGAACCAAATTGCAGCTGCATTGCTTTCTTCTGTGCTTTCCAAGCTTTGTTGTATGACATGGAAATTCCATACTGCATACTCATGTCCTCACGAATTTGCTTTGGGGGGTATGGTTTATTGGAAGCATCAAGGTATTTGTGTGCAATAATATTTGTTATCACACTAGCAGATGCCTGTCTATGTTTGCCTTGTCTGTAATCAATAGAGCATGTGTGAACTGGCCGGAATCTGAAAAGAAAAATGACATTAGTATACAAATACATAATATGAAGTTGACAGTCCTGTATAAGAATGGCAACACAACATGACATTCTTATAAACCAGAATTTACAATGAAGTGAATTAAAGAAGGAAAATTGAAGTTACCTTCTGATTTGAAACATTGTTACGCCATGTAGTTTTACAGCTCGAACACTCCAACAACATTTTGGATCTAAGCAAATAACATGCAAACATATTTTCTTCGATGTCTTAGTTCTGTATTGGAAGTGGTTTGTGATAGCATACGTCTTCAGATGGTGGATAAGTTCTTTTTTATTTTTGTAAATAGCATGGAGAAGAAGACAAGTAGGATGGGACTGTGTGATGATTTCAAAATTTTGGAGAAATGAGAATGAGTCAGATGATTTAGTTAAAAGGCCATCTGACATATCATCTGACATGTCATCACTGTCTTCAAATGATTCATTTTCTACAGTTGCAGACACAGTGTTACCACAAGAAACAATATCTTCGGATTGGCCACAACTTACCCCAGATAGCATAACATTTTCATATTGACCAAATGGTGGGCCATCATCAAAAGAAAGTGTAGGTGAGGAGGAATGTTGTTGGGCAGAAGAAACAACAACATTCTCATAAGTGGTATGTTGTTGTGAAGCATGGGAAGAAGAAACAACAACATTCTCATCATAAGGGGTATGTTGTTGTGAAGAAATGACAACATTTTCAGACCAAGGAGAAGCAAATGGTCCAACATCAATAGAAAATGCAGGAGAAGATGAAACAAGATAAAACTCAACACAAAGTGGATACAATGAAAAATCTGGTTGAAGAGACTTGATATAAAGATAAAATGTTAAGGTAGATTGATCATTTATAGTAACAGGAGGAGGAAATCCATCTCGCATATAAGAAAGCCTGAAATTATGATTAGCTTTGTACTGAGAAAGGATGTCACTCAAAGAGTTAATAAAAGAAGCATATTGAACATTATAGTTAACATGAAGGCCACATGTGTGGACATTGTTGAACACATTGTTAGAATCCCAAAAACCGTCAACCTTGACCATAACAAGTAAAATAGGATCCATTGTGGTAAAAAAGGTTCCTAAAAAAATGCAGCAAAAGAAATATTTCAGTATGAAAAAAGACAGTTCGGACAAAATAATGACAGTTTTGTTAACAATATGACAGTTTATAAGGATGTGTACCATTGAATGACAGAACATAAAAAGGCGAAATCAAAAAATGCATATACAGGTAGGAACGTAGCACAAACTAAATGACAGTTTAGACAAAATTATGACAGTTGTGTTAACAATATGACAGTTTATAAGAATGTGTACCAA